CATCCAGATTCAGTGAGAGCCATTTGAGACTGACAATCTGTAGCGCTCAGTTCAGAATGCTACACATCAGTCTGGTGAATTCTGTACTTAACCTGGACATTCTTCTCCTACAGAAATAGTATAATATATAACAATAGATATAACAACAATATATATAACAGTTTATTATTGTGTCAACTGTTCAAGGATGATCAGGCTAGAGAACTGCTGTAGTGAACATGGTAACATGTTGGACAGACATCTGCTCTGGGGCTGAATGGTGAAAAGGTGTCTGACCTCCACACCCCAGCGACTGTTGTATAACTGTGGCCTCTGTACAGAAGATAGACTAGATGAGTCTAGATGAGGATCATAAATGATTTCATTCTACTTTACACCCATGTAATGGAACGAATAAATGATATCATTATTACACTCTTTCTACACTTCAGAAGGTCAAAAGATAAAGCAATTAACTCACTGTAAAGACAGAGTAAGAAGCCTTGATTATAAATCCTATATTAATTCTACTCTGGATTCAAGACACTCAAAGCACTTTACATTGCATTATTCCACTGGACACTCCAATTGGTGATGCAGTCACAGCTGCCCCGGGGCACACTGATCAAAGCAAGGCTGTTCATTTGCACCATGTTGCCCATTCACACACACCACAACTAGGGATGTAACAAGTCTCTTTGCTTAATTTAAGAGTTATGGTGCAGCAATAGCTAAAACAAAAGACAGAGGGAACTACATAGACCATGATCCTTTGCTCCATTTCAGTGTAGACTACATGAAGAAATAACAGTTCTAGTCTAGTCTTAGTTCTTTGAATTAAGTCTTGTCAAGGCATTTGAAAAAAGGAAAATGTAGCATATTAACAGTTTTAGCTGTTTAGTCTTCACAAAATATCTCAATAAATATCGTACCGCGAGATGTATATTGTGAAAATATCATACCGTGTGACTTGGATACACCCCTAACCACAACTATACAATGTCTTGGCCTAGGACACAACCTCAGTATGCAAAGACTTGGTGCTGGGATCAAACCACTGACT